CATCGTTCGGGCGACACAATCAAGCGCCTACCTTTGCGCCTTATCACTCTTCACCGGGGACGTTTGAGTTCATGCCGCCCCGTGCCCAACCAACAGCAGCTGCATCACAACAGACACCAAACGAGATACTTAGTCTCTAGGCGCAGTTTTCACACGTCATCAAACTGCAGACATCCTCACCGTTCAACGGACACGACTTCTTTACCTGGAGCTTTGAGTTCGAGCTGCTGATGGAGGCTGCGCATCTCTTGGGATACTTCAACGGGTCCCTGCTATTTCCAAGCAATGGCACTGCGAAAGAGCAAGCAATTTTTACATATCAGTCGCTGCTGGCGTACACAGTCCTCCTGCGGAACCTGTCACCACAAGAACAGCAAAGCATCAGAACGTATCGGAGCTATGGAAACTCCGCGGAACTCGCATGGCATCACCTCAAGTGTCTCTATCAAGCAAACGACAGCGTGACACAAAGCAGACTCATGCAGCAACTGACAACAATACAAATGAAAACCGGGGAAAAGGCGATGCAGTATATGAGTCGATGCCAGACACTCCGCGACCGCCTGCTTCGGTGCGGAGGAACAATCACTGAAGAAAGCTTCGTGACGCTTGTCCTCGCTGGGCTCGGGCCAGAATGGAGAACCACCCGCTCGCTTCTTCGCGCCCACGGACGAATCTCGGAGATGCACCTCTGCGCCGAGCTCCATGCTGAACAACAAGAGATGGACCTGTTCGAAGAAAGACAACCAAAGAAGCAGCAATCGTTAGTCTTCTACACTCATAAAAGGAACGACAACAACTACAACCGACGCAGCAAGCAAGATCAACGCGACAACAGAGGACTCACCATTGTGCCGCCGTTCTGCCACAACTGTCAAACATCTGGACACTCCAAAGTCAACTGCACACGCCCACGAGCTTACCGTCCAGTAGACCCACAAGTCACCTCCACTCAAGAAAGCCCGCTGAGGCGTTCCTCCATATCTGCACAAGGCACACCAAACATCATCAATTGCATGGTCCACATCGACAACTGCGCACCCGGCTCACCACCCACTTACGCTCCAGACGAGGAAGAATTGCCGCCGCCGCGCTCACAAGGGCTTCAGGTTAATCCGACATACGCTGCAGTCGCCAACGCCGAACCCACCGGGCGGAACACCTGGTTCTTGGATAGCTGCTGCGGGCAACATATGTGTTCTTCCAGGCGCTTCGTGCAGCGAGAGCGATGCCTCAACCGTGATGTCATCATCACCGTCGCCAACAACGAGAACCTGAAAACAAATAGACAAGGCGTCGTTCAGCTTCAGTCAATGGAGACGAACGTCATACTACAACTCAACAAAGTTCTAATCGTCGACAACTTGGGATACAACTTACTCAGCGTCAGCCAGTTAATGGCAAAAGGGATTCACCTGGAACGCGACTCGGACTCCAACGAATTTCGCCTTTACCACGGGAAGGGCGGTCTTTTCATCGGTCGCGCTCTCCTGAAGTCGGGCGTCTTCGTGTTGGATTTCGTCCTCGACCGCGGCACTGCCGACAGCGATGGCATCGTGTCGTTCGCCGCTTGGACGCACCCGCCGGATCTTGACCCCGACTTCAAACCAGATGGCTTCTGGTACTCCAACACCATACCTGCAGCAGAGAGAACACGAGCGTTAGCAGTTATTCGACAAGAAAGACAAGTACCAGCAAGCGTTCCTTCCTCGACATCACCTGAAGTAACGGCAGCGGGACCCAGCCGAGTACCATCACCAGCAATCCGCGGACCACCAACCGAAGCAGATCAACTTATGCCCATCACCCGAGAAGTCTGCCGAAGTCCCGCCACGGTCGTCGCGTTCTTCTCCAACACCGACATGTACCAACGCTCGCCCGGCCATCGCGCCTCCGACGACATCTGGCACCAACGCCTTGGGCATCCTGCAAACAGCACGGTACTACAAACCATCCAATCCGAAGTGTTAGAACGAAACGCCCTTCTTACAACGAGCAGCCAAGAACTTCGACGACCTCGCGCACGGTGTTTCACGTGCCCCGAAGCAGATCTTCCCCACCAACCTTTTCCATCACATCACAATCCAAGTGCACCTGCATACGCACCGATGGAAAAAGTTTACAGCGACATCTTTAACATGCCTCGAGACGACACTGAAGCCGACTTCAACTATGTCATCACGTTCATCGATGCAGCAACAAGATATGTCTGGCACTACAACCTCAAGACGCGCGATCAAGCTTTCGAAGCATTCACGACGTGGCTCCCCATCGCTGAACGAGAATCAGGAACGAAGCTCAAGAGCTTCCAGTCAGACGGCGCACTCGAATACCAGTCACAACGCTTCAAGAACTACTTGGCGGAAAGAGGAATCAGACGACTGGTGTCTCTGCCCTACGCTCACCAGCAGCAGGGGGTCGCAGAAAGAATGAACCGGACCTTGCAGATGACGATGCGAAAGCTGCTCCTTGGGATGGGACTGCCCAACGCACTGTGGCCAGACGCGATGACCCATGCAGTCCACCTGCACAATTTGTTATCCTCGTCATCGCTTCCCAACAACGCATCACCGCACCTGCTGTGGACACGATAAAGGGGCAGCACAAAATTACTTCGGGTTTTCGGCTGCATGGTACATTACAGACCCCACACAGCCCGAGCAGGACGTTTTACTCAACGAGCAAGGTGGGGACTACACCTCGGCATCGCCAAACATTTCCAAGCATGGAAACTCCTCGACATACAAGACAAAAATACCGTGGCATCACGTGATGTGATCTTCTACGAACGACTGACACTGCAGCATTACCTGGACAACGTCGCCAACACAGACGACCCCACCGACGGCTTCGCGGGCTTTCGCTCCTTCGCCGACCGTGCTGCCGAGGCTGACGCAGCAGAAGAAGACGTACCTGGAGCTTCGGAAGCTGCCGGACCACTCCCTTACTATTCCGTGCCTGTTCCACTCGACGAAGACAATCCCCTCGTTAGCAACAACCTCGACACCCTTTACCATTTCGCTGACCAAGGTTACGTTACACCTCACCCGGTCGACACAAATGTCTCAGAACGCATCGGCCTGAACTTCTTACCTGATTCAGAAGATGGTGACGAAGCAGCCTATTCGGGGAATGCAAATTCCCCTCGACACACACCCACGGGACTGCAAATACTCGGCTTATGGGTCTCCGTCCAGCATCCGCCGCCGCCATCTCCGCGCGAGCCAACGACTTTGTCGCAGGCTCTGGAGGGGGAACACAAGGCGAAATGGAAGGAGGCAATGGAAAAGGAACTGAAAGCTCTGCAAGACCGAAATACATGGAAACTGGTACCTGCAACAAACATCAACGGGAGGAACGTTCTCTCGGAAAAATGGGTATACCGCATCAAGACCAATGCGGACGGCTCCATCGAACGATTCAAAGCTCGCTGGGTCGTACGCGGATTCGATCAACGATACGGAACTGACTACACAGAAACATTCGCCCCAGTCTCCCGTCACACCTCCTTGCGCATTCTACTCGCCGTCGCGGCCACAAAGAAACTACCACTGTGCCAGATCGACGTCGCAAATGCCTTCCTGTACGCACCTGTGGACGCCGAGATCTTCGTCGAGCAGCCCCACGGATTCATCGACGACCCCACAAAAGTGTGCCAGCTGATAAAATCCCTATACAGGATCAAGCAAGCCCCGCGGCTTTGGCACCAGCATCTTCACGGTCGCCTCGTCAGAATCGGATTCCTACAGCTGCCGCACGACCAAGGGATGTACCGACTACAGAAAGGAAGAGAATTTATCCTACTCATCGTCTACGTCGACGACCTCCTCTACATCGGCTCCACTACCGGCATCGCCACCTGGTTCGAAGGGGAGCTGAGAAGTGACTTGACACTCACAGTGTCTGACACCGTGACCCAGTACCTGGGTCTAAACGTCGTCGAAGACAACTCGGCGTTCTACCTTCACGCTGGAAAGTACGCAGGCATTGTCGCGAAGAAATTCGAACTAACGCCGACTACAGTCACGACTCCCTACCGCTACGGGAACAACAACAACACCTCCGCAAAACTCCCCGCGAAGCAAATCCAGGAGTATCAGCAGAAGCTTGGATGCCTACTATTCGCAGCAGTAACCTGCAAACCTGACCTATCCAACAGCACGAGTCAACTGGCGACGCATCTGAAGCAGCCGGACCAAGAAGATCTCGAGGAACTTAATCGGGCACTACTCTACTTCGTCTCTACGCCGACGACCGGACTTACCTACAGTAAAGAAGCAACATCGTCCGTGCAACTACTCGGATACGTCGACGCCGACCACGCGGGAGACAGGGAAAATCGACGCTCGAGAACGGGCTACATCTACCGACTAGAGCCCATCGGGACTATCTCCTGGCAGTCGAGCAAACAAGAACTAATCGCACTATCTTCGGCTGAAGCAGAATATATCGCCCTCTGCACTGCGACCAAGGAAGGACTCTACTTGCGAGAGTTACTTGAGGAAGCAAATATTGCGACCCTGCCTGTCTTCTCACTCCTCTGCGACAACCAATCTGCGATCAAAATCGCGAACGGGGACGGCTTCGCCAACCGAACCAAGCACAGAAATGGCTGCAGACTACCTGACGAAGAAACTGGCGAAGGCGAAGTTCGATTACTGCATGCTGCTGACCGGGCAGACAAACGTCACCGGATCTGAACACGTCAGCACTCCAGAAACGAAGGGGGGTGTTGGAAATACCTCAAGGACTTAAGCGTTTCTGAAGTGTAACACCACACTCGAGGAAGGTCGTAACGGGTACGCGAGTCAACGAAGGTTACACGAGGGGATGGACAAACAACACGAAAGGACTCGAAGGGTCGTAACTGGAGGTTGCGACTGACAGTTACAACTGCAAAGATGGTAACCGAAGTGACAATCGAGTCGCTGTGCGACTCGATAACCGCTCTTTCAACTGTATTCTACAACTGCTTAACTTTCCTACTTCCTATATATTGCTGTATGCTTGTTCTTTTAATCAATCACTTGTTCTCACATACTAGTACAAGGGTTCAACTACTTAACTTCCGCTGCACTACTCAAGTCTCCTTTTGCAACTGGACTTAGTCTCTGGAAAGATCCTAAGGGCTTTTCTCAACCCAATACTCTCTACCCCTCATGTAGCCTCTCCTCTTCATTCCCTTCCACACCTGCATTCCCTTCCCCACCTGTATTCCCCCCATCCCCTGACCCCCAGCCCCCCATGCTCTGGGCGAAGCCACTCAATTCTTTCAGCGACTGTTTTTGAGGCACCTCAATAGTCCCGCCCCCCACGCTCCGGGCGAAGGTGCTCAGGTCTTCCAGCATCCGCAGCGCCTCAACCATGGAGGGTCGGTCTGCCGCCACGCGAGACGTGCACAGCAGACCCAGCATCACCACCGCCTTGATCTCCTCCATCCACTCGTCCCGATCGTCGATCCGACGGTCCACAACCTCCTCTAAGGGGTTCGCACATACCCACCTAGATATAACCGTTTCAACCAAAACTTTATCAGTGAGACACTTTCCGGTAACCATCTGCAACGCGACAACCCCAAACGCAAACACATCACTCTTGAAGGATAACCGGCCGCGTTGGACATACTCGGGAGCAAAGTATCCCACCGTGCCAAACAGCCTTGTGCTCATGTGCGTTTTGCCCGTTTCTATCTCCCTCGCGAGTCCAAAGTCGGCGACCTTGGCCTCGAAGGTGTGGGTGAGGAGCACGTTGGCAGGCTTCATGTCGCGGTGGATGATCCCCGGGATGCAGTTGTGGTGCAGGTACTTCATCCCCCGCGCCATGTCTGTCAGAACTCTCCGACGCACCTCCCACTGCCGCATGGGGTGGGAAGGCCCCACCTTCCCTTCCACGTCCCCCTCCGCCTCCCCCTCCCCGTCCCCATCCCCGTCCCCCTCTACTTTGGGCATGTGTTTGGCGAGCACGTGGTCGAGGGAGCCCCCAGAGACGAAGTCATAGATGAGGAGGCGCTCCTGCGAGGGCGGGCGCGAGAGGTAGGCGGCGACGAGCACAACAAGGTTGCGGTGGCGCACCGCCCCCAGCGTGTGCATCTCCGCCTCAAACTCCCGCTGCCCCTGCGTCGACCCTACCGCCAACCGCTTTATCGCCACATCCCGCCCGTCCGCCAGGGTCGCCCTGAGTGAAAGGGGAGAGGGGGAGGGGGAGCGGAGGAAGCAGAGAGGGGACGGAACAGGCGGAGATGGAGAAAGCTGAAAGTCACGAGTAACAAATCCAACCATTGAACACAATGCAAAACCTTTTTCTTCCTCTTTTACCACTCCACCAAAACCTTCCCCGTGGTCACTTGACATGAAGGGTTGGAGCAGCTTAGAGATTGCATTAGCCGAAGACCATAGTATTATTTACCTTATTTCTTGAATACTGAAATTTCTTGACATTGTTGACATTGCCAATGCAATCTCTCTAAACTGCTGTCACTCTTCATGTCAAAAAACCTGAGCCCAATCATTTCTGGCGTCTCACTTGTCTGACACCTCTGGTCCATACTCCTATGCACCCCTTCCTCTGCTTCATACACCTCTTCCACTCGTTTATGCATAAAATCCAATTCCACCTTATCCCTTTCCCCCCGTCACTCTCTTGTGGACGACGCCAAAACGCCATATTTTCCCCTACTTCCTCTCTCGGGATTTTTTTTTGTTTTGTTTTGTTTTTTTGGTTTTTTGTTTTTTAACAACCTATACATGCAATGTTTTTTAAGCTGCTGCTACTCTTCATGTCAAGTAACCGCAGAGCCGAATCGAACTTGATCGGACAAAGCCGAAGCCCAATTTTCACCACCTATCCACTTATCCACCTCTTCCCCTCTAACCCCCCCTTCCCCCTCCCCCACTTCTCCCCTTCCCCCTTTTCCTTACATGAACCCCTCAACTCCCGTCTCCCTCTCCCCCCACACTGCCCCCTTGCCCCCTCGCCCCCACTCGCACTCACTTGTAGATGGAGCTAAAGCCCCCCTCCTATTTCCCTAATCCCCCATCATACCCCCTCCCCTTTGACTCACTTGTAGGAGCCGAAGCCATGCTTTTTTACCCGAAACCCCCTTCTTTTCCTCTCACTTGTAGACGGAGTCGAAGCCCCCCCCCCTCCCCCCCCCTGTCTCGCTTTCACTTGTAGACGGAGCCGAAGCCCCCCTTATTTACCCGAAACCCCTTCTTCCCACTCACTTGTAGACGGAGCCGAAGCCCCCCCGGCCGAGGAGGAACTTGTTGCTGAAGTTGTCGGTGACGTCGATGATGGAGCGGATGCTGAGCTTGAAGTCCAGGCGCTCAAACACCAGCATCGTGCCACCCTCCAGACCCGACGCGCGCTGGACGAACAGCCAGTACCACGCCACACCCACCACCACTGCCACCACCGCCACACACCCCACCACCATCCCCACAGCCGCTCCGGTCGACAACCCCTGGCTAGGAGGGTCCGGGCACGGGGGGTAGCCTGCTCCGTCACATAAGTCGGGGTTTCCGGCGAAGGAGGAGGCGGGGAGGAGGGAGAGGTTGCCAGGGTAGATCTCCCCGGCAAGGCGGTTGAAAGAGAAGTCAAGCGTCGTGGCGGTGGTGTTGGCATTGGAGAAACCAAAGGGAATGGCGCCGGAGAAGGCGTTGTGGGAGAGGTTGAGGAGGGCGAGGAAGGGCAGGAAGGGCGGGGCGAGCTGGGGGGGGATGGCACCGGAGAGGCCGTTGCGGCTGACATCGAGGAGGGAGAGGAAGGGGAAGGAGCCCAGGGAGGCGGGCAGGGAGGAGGAGAGGCCGTTGCCACTCAGATCTATCACACGCAGGCGGTTCATAAAGGAGAGCGCGGCAGGAATTGAACCTGAGAGCAGATTGCCAGACAGGTTGAGCTCTGCAAGGGAATCCAGCGAAGAAATCGCAGGAGGAATTTCGCCCTCGATGCGGTTACCGCCAAGCCGTACCGACACCACAACTGTGGTACTGGCCAGATTCTCAACCGCCTCAGCTGCCGTTCCTGTGAGCTGGTTGCTGGAAGCATCATAGTAGATGAGGTTGCGGCACGTTGTTAGGGGATCAGGCACAGCCGGACCAGAGAAGAAGTTATGGTCGAGGTGGAGCCGTGTGAGGTTTAAACAGTTGCCGCCCAGAGGGATGGGCCCAGTGAAACTGTTGTGGCTCAGATATAATTGGGCTAGATGAGGAGATGACTTGAGAATAGCTGGTGCTGCTGCTGTGGGCCCCGCTGCTGCTGCTGCCTTTCCTTCTCCGGTTACTGCTGCTGCTGCACCTGTGCTGTTTTCCAGTTGCCCGCGGCTGTTCAATCCCACGAGAATGTCGGGGAGGTCTCCAGACAGAGAATTGTTTCTCAAGTCCAGAATCTCCATTTGCTTGCAAATGAAACCCGGAGGGATGCTGCCCGAAAAGGAATTATTTCCCAGGAGTAGGGTGCCCAGCAAAGTCACAACCAGACAAGACTTCAGATCGGGCAGCGGACCGGACAGATTGTTGTTGCCAGCATCAAACTGAAAGAGCATTGAAATCTCCGCAAATGCAGGCGACAGGCCGCCGGAAAAGCTGTTATTGCTGAGCAGCAAAGAGAACGGCAAGAAGGCACCCGACAGAGATTTCCAGAGGCTAGGCGGCAGCGGTCCAGAGAGGTTGTTGCTCGAGACATCGAGCTGGAGCAGCATCGGGGCACAGGCGTCCAGGTTCCCAGGCAGCGTTCCCCAGAACTGGTTGCTGCCGAGAGAGAGAGCGAGCACACTGGCAGTGCAGGCAAAGGAGAGAGGGAGGGAACCAGTGAAGTGGTTGGAGGAGATTTGGAGAACGGCAAGTTGGGAGAGGGTTGAGAGGAACGCGCCTCCCTGGGGGAGAGACCCGGAGAACTGGTTGTAGCTGAGGTCGAGGCACTGCAGCGAGTGGAGGTTGGAAATGGATGCTGGGAGCAAGCCGGAGAAGTTGTTTCTCTGGAGAGTCAAGCCCCCGTCGAGAGGCTTGAAGCCGAGTTTTTTAAGATGCCCGATCTCCTCGGGCAGGCTGCCAGAGAGGTGGTTACTTCTCAGGTCCAGGTCCATTAGTGTCTTGCTTAGGAGGGAGATCTGCGGCGGAATAGACCCCGAAATCGCATTGTTCGGGAGCTTTAGACTCTCCAGGCTGGGCATGGAAAAGAGGCCTGTAGGGAGACTCCCTGTGATCAGATTATACTTGAGATAGAGCTCCCTGAGGCTCTTGAACTGCGATATGCTGTCTGGTATCCCTCCAATGATGCGGTGAAAGGAAAGGTCCAGCTTGCGCAGAGAGGAGCAGGCGGAGAGCTGGGTTGGGAAGGCTCCAACGAGACCGGCAATGGCAGGATAGTCTTCAGCATTCCTGATGGTGAGATTCTGGAGGGCAGTTAGAGATGAGAATTCCTGAGGTAGGAGAGGAGGAATCGCACCACCAACATTGTTGCTGCTGCTGCTGCTGCTGCTGCTGCTGCTGCTGCTGCTACCATCATTGAGGTACCCACTCGTAGTGCCTTCCACGCTCATGGCAATGGCGGTCATCACACTGCGGGTGGGAGTGATGAGGACGGCTCTACTTGAGTAGTTCTCCACGTCTCCTTCATGATATCCAGGTTCCAGCCACAAGTCCAGGGCAATCACACGCCGAGGGGCTGCTGCTGCTGCTGCTCTTTCTGCTCCTCCTGCTGCCGCTCCTCCCGCTGAGCCTTTGGGTGGGTTGGAGCAGGTGACGAAGCGCCAGAGGCAAAGAAAGGAGTGAGGGTCCGTCGAGCTGGCGTGGGTGGCATGGCGAGGCACCACCCATGAGCGGAGCACGTCATTGAAGTCAATGATGCTCGACTTAAATGCCAGCAGCGCGTTCAGCTCCAACGCTGCCTGCGCGTCCATGGCAGGCGGAGAGGCAGAGGAGGCAGGAGGAGCAGTAGTAGCAGTAGTGTCGGCAGTATCAGCAGTCTCAGCACCAAGGTTGCTGCCAGCCCTGGCTTCACTACCAGACCCACCTAGCTTTTCACCATCTGCCCTTGCTGCGTTCCTTAAAGCCTCCCTTCTGACACCTGCCTCCACCACCTCTCCCTCTGCTGCTTCTTCATGTCTTGCCGTTCCGCTACTGCTTCTGCTACTGCTTCTGCTACTGCTACTGCTACTGCTACTGCTACTGCTACTGCTACTGCTACTGCTACTGCTACTGCTACTGCTTCTGCTACTGCTGCTGCTGCTCCCACTGCTATTGTTGCTGCTGCTGCTTCTGCTGCTCCCACTGCTGCTGCTGCTGGTTATCCAGCCCTCTGCTTCGGCCATCTCTTCCCCAGCAGCGGCGCTCTCTGCTGCTCTCCTCCCCTCCACGCACCGCCCTTCCTCCTCGTCGAAACGGGCAGCCCCCGGGCAGATGTAGATGCCTGCAAGCGAGAAGCTCGAGCAGCGGAAGTAGGCCCTGGCGGCACGGCATGGGGTTTGGTTGATCGAAAGATGATGCCATGATGATGCCATGATGATGCCATGATGATGCCATGATGATGCCATGATGATGTCATGATGATGGAAATGGACGATTCTAATTTGTGGTTGGAAGGAAGACAAGCCAGTTAAGAGGTGAGCTAGGAGGCGGCACAACTAGTGCGGTGGTGGTGAGACACAATGCAACGACGTGCAAGGAACGCCCTTACCTGTGCGGCGGCTTCACCTGAGGGGCGGGTGCACTGCGAGCTTACCTGTTGGGCGCCTTTACCTGGAAGGTGCTGACATGTCATGACACGCAAGGAACGCCCGTACCTGTGCGGCGGCATTACCTGCGGGGCGCCCTCACCTGAGCGGCGGGTGCGCGAGCGCGTCCCCATGGAGTCCGTCCGACAGCCCACGGCACCAATCGTCCCCCGCTCGCGCCTTGTGCTGGAGACGAAAGAGAAAAGACAAAGCGTCAAAGAGCGTTGGCGGGGGGGGTGGGGGGGGCGGGGGGGAGTGTTGGGAAGAGGAGGCGGGGGGAAGAGAGGGAGGGGGGGGGCGGGGGGACGGGGGACGGGGGACGGGGGACGGGGGAGGGGGGAGCGGGTAGTGGGGATGGTAGTTGGGTGGAGAAAACCCCTGAGTCGACTCAATCGTCCCCCACTCGTGCCACAGCTCTCCGCGCCTTGTGCTAAGGGGAGGAGACGAGGGGCAGAGAGAGAGGGGGGCGGGAGGGGACGGTTATGGCACAGTTGAGATCGCTAATGCTCTTGTAGCTGGTACGGCAGTCGGTATTGATGTTGCGGGCGGCTCACCAGCAGCCGATCGTATCCTTTGCGCCCCGCTGCTCTCCGTTGCGGCGCTTCCGCGTGCGACTCTTTTCCGCGCGCCCCTACCATCCCCAGCCGCACGAGCTGCTGCGCGCGGGTCCGCGCATGCGCCAACCGCGCTCGCTCTTCCGCTGAAAGCGCTCTCCCGCCCGCGCTGCTAGCGCCCTGGCTACTACTAGTGCCGGCAACAGCTAGAGTTCCGGCGGCGGCGGCGGCGGCGGCGGCGGCGGTTACGCGGAAGACAACGACGAGCACCGCAAGGTGCGCGACAAGAAAGTAGTGTCGCGGGGGATAGTGGAGGCTGAAACGCTGGCTCCGACGGCTCCGACGCACCGCCGCCATAATGACGGCTTGTGAAGCTATTTAAAATACAGTTCAATTGTCATTTCCGCAACTGTTTCTTCGACTCAAAAGTCGCTTTCTCCAGTGGGACAGGAGCAATTAATGGGACGGGAGCGCGCGGGCCAGCGAGGTCCTATGGTGGCCGCGCGATGATGATACGCGGCCGCTACCGTGCTGCTGCTGCTGCTGCTTCTTCGGAGGCGGGGTACTAGCTGCGAGCGGGGTGGCAGCGAGCTGAAGTTCCTACTACGGAAGTTCAACTTGGCGGGCATGCGCCAGTCCCTTGTGCGACTACTAGTACCTCCGAGGGGCGAGCGGGCCAGCGAGGCACTGACGCGCGGCGATGATGATACGCCGCCGCTACCGTGCTGCTGCTGCGTCGGAAGCGGGGTAGCGCGCGGGGTAGCAGTGCTAGGTACCTCCGAGGGACGAGCGAGCTGAAGTACGAGGGCGTGACTCGCTGTGTCGTGGTGCGCTCTTCCTCGCAAAAATGTGGAATGGCCGAAACCAGTCGGGACGGGGTCACAGGAAGTCGGGCGAGGTAGAAGTGGGATTGAGAGAAAATTCTGCACCTCGGGTCTGACCCGAGGTTGACCCGCGGTCGAAGGAGCCGCGGAGTTTAGAGGCTCAACCTTGGGTCTAGTGACTTTGATGGTAGTGTTCCTACGGAGGTGCAGAAAGTCGCAAAACGAGTTGACGATGTACAGAAAACCGCACAGAGTTGTCGCAAAGCGAATTGGGAGGTGTACATTGGCAAGTGATGCACTTACGCCACTTCTATTCCGGTAGGTTTGTATGCGAACGGTGTGTTTCCAGCCAAGCAGCCGTCAGGAGACGTAAGACCCGAGGTTTTTTTTTCACCTCGGGTCTTCCCGTATGATACTACTGTCAGACACGAGATCCAGAATCCGCCCTGAATGTCGACGCATGAATCTGACTATTTGCGGCGGAATGTCGCCGTGCATGCTGAGCTGCGCGGGTCTTGAAGGTCTGGTTCGATGTACAGCTACAGCGGCTACTGTTCCTTCTGTCGTGAAGTTCGGGACTTCAAGCGTGTATGGTCGTTGTTCCTTCGCCTCTCTTCTTTCCGATTTCCTGTTTTCCCGTATCATGCCTTCATTCCCTTCCCCTTCCTTCGATTTCAATTCTTCCTTTCTCCCACCATTACGGGAAATCGTTCCTTACGTCTCACTTCCAAATTCTCCATGTTTTCTTTGTTGATTGTCGTTCTCTTCATTTCCACGTCCCCTTATCCAGGTTTCACATGTCTCTTATTCTGCTAACTCTTGTGATCTGGGTGCAGGCTCGAAACTTTGAACCACCCTTATTATGCATCTGCTATCTTTTCATTTCATAAGGCATACTTTATCGTTTTGAATTGTTTTGGCCTTGCCTAGGAGCATGCAGTCCTGTTGTTGTGTGTTGTGCATGGGCACTCAAGGTAATACGTTTTGTGTGTGTCAAAAACTGGATTGCTTTTATCGTTTCGTGAAGGTCCTTTGACTCTCTCTGTGAGTGTAGTCAACTGACTTGGAATCGATATAGTAAATCAGGTTTTGGTATTCACAAAAGTAATTATTTTGTGTATTATTTTAGCATTGGGCTTGAAGCTATCAAACTGAAAGAATGACTAGAATGTGAGAGTACAAGGCATTATAACCTAGGAGGCTGTACTCTCTAAGGCACAACCCTACATGGTCTACAACAACACATACAAATGTGTTTGACACACCCCCTAGACTGGATAGGGGCAGTGTCTGTTGAGAGACAAGCAGCTCAGTGTGGCACAACTAGTCCAACCTCTAAGGCAAGGGTCTAAAGACCAAACAAACAAGTACAAACTAAGGCAAGAGCAAGATCAGGACGGCACTACTAGTCCAGCCACAGGGAGAGGCCACAAGGCCAGTCAGGGTAAAATATATATAAAGGTTTGTACATAATCAAGGCCCTAGCAAGTGAGAGGCTACAGGAACGAGACCTAAATGAACAGAGTACCGCGGATGATTTTTAGCCGAAAGCGCCTTCGTAAAGATATCAGCTGTGTTGGCACTTGAGGCCAAGTGTACTACGCGAGCCTAGCGGCCCTGCTGTAGCTCGCGCAGGAGGAAGTACCGCAGGTGGATGTGCTTCGCTCTGCCCTCAAGTCGAGGTTCCTGACAGAGGAGGATCACGGCCCTGTTGTCAGCGTACAGGACCGGGGCAGAGCTAGGCCGCTCACCTAAGTCAGTGAGCAAGAAGGTCAGCCAGCAGAGCTCCTGTGCCGCCATGGCACCGGCGTAGATCTCGGCCTCACAGCTGGACTGGGCAACAGACGAGGAGCGAGTAGCTCTCCACGAGACGGCACCTGAACCAAGGCTAAAGCAGTAGCCCTGCGAGGACCTGAGGGTCTCAACGTCGTCTGCCCAAGAAGCATCTGTGTGCCCTGGAAGGGCCACTGGCTTGCGTCCTCCTAGCACTAACCCCATGCCCGATGTACTTACTAGATAACGCAAAACCCTCTTAGCGGCCGACCAAAGCTGTGGTCGGTGTCTACCTGTGGCCACAAAGCGAGCCAGGATGCTAAGAGGGTATGCGAGATCTGCACGAGTGCAAGTTATTAGGTACATGAGGCAACCCACCAGCTCTGCGTAAGGACCACTGGGCTCTACTGACTTTTCAGGAACTGGAGCAGAGAGCCTGTGATCTACTGGCAGAGGTGTGGGCTATGCGGACGAGAACTGAAGACCGAACCTCTGAAGGACCTGGCGCACCAAGTGTGACTATGTGAGCGTGATGGTGCGCGCTGCTCAGTCCGTGGAGATCTGGAGGACAAGGTAGTGGCGCAGTTCTCCTAGGTCAGTGCAGGTGTGTCTCTTTAGCAGCCTTGCCTTCATGGAGGCCAGTGCGTCCCTGTCTGCAGTGGCGAAGACCAGGTCGTCTACGTAAATAAGGATGTAGAACGGGGTCAGGCCAGCACGAACGAAGAGCGAGGGGTATGCAGAGGACGGAAAGAACTGCAGGTCAGCAAGGGTAGCACGGAGTGTGTTTTGCCACTCACGGGGCGCCTATCGCAAGCCGTAGACTGGTCGCCGTAGTAGCCACTGGGTCCTAGAAGGGAAGGTACCAGTGAAGCCCTGAGGGCGGCACAGGTAGTCATGCTCGTGTAGGCTGCCCTAAAGAAACGCAGTGGAGAAGTCGAGGGAGTGTAACTCGTAGTCACGCTGTGCTGCTACGTGTAGCAGCGCCCGAAGAGTAGTCATCTTCGGGGTCGGGGCAAAGGTCTGAAAGAAGTCCACCCACTTACGCTGACCGAAGCCTCTAGCCACGTAGTGCGCCTTGAACACAGGCGGCTCTCCAGGGGGGCGCTTCATCTTGAAGAGCCACCGGCCATCGACTACGTTCACCCCAGGTGGGGGAACTGCGTCGACGTAGGTGCCGGTGGATCTCCAAGATGCTATCTCCTGCTCCATGGCAGCTATCCACTGAGAGGCCCAGGGTCCCGAGGTCGCCTCAGCGTAGGTGCGAGGGGTCGGGATGTCAAAAGCGTCTGGGTCACCCTCAGGGACTAGCAGCATGGAACAGAGATGGGGAGGAGCCTCGGACAGGAAAGCAAGCTCATACTGCCGGTCCTCCAGGACGTCAGTGCCGAGGGCAGGAGCACCCCCGACGGACGGAGGACGAGCAGGGTCAAAGACCAGAGCAGTGGCGTAGTCAAGGTGGCGGGTAGAGGCGAAGTCAGCGACCGCAGCGACAAGAGTGTCAAGACGCGAAACAGGAACAGATGGGTCGGTAACGAGAGAGGCAAGGACCCGAGGAACAAGAGGACGAGCTGCACGAAGGTAGTCAGATAGAGGGAAAGGCGCGACAACAAGGGAGGACAGAGGAGACGACAGTAAGAGGGGAGAACGAGACGCGTGGGAACGGAGCAACATATGATGAGAGCGCGGAACAGGAGAGACAGGACGAGCACGAGAGGGACGGCAAGACCAGACGTGAGACGAAGGTGTCGAGTTAGGAGACAGAGGAGGAGACATAGGAGGAGAACACAGGGGAAGACGAGCCAGAGACGAGTCCGGAGGAGAGAACACGGGGCTGTAGACAAGAAGGGGAGCAGACGGTGGAGGAGGCACAAACGCACGGTCAGGGGACGGAAGGCCGACCAGGCGAAGGGCTGACACCGGAGGCGATTGCTGCTGCGGCGGCACGACGACGACACCGGGACCGTCAGCTGCTCCACGGCCAACTCCGGGGCACTCCACTCCAGCACCCGCAAAACCAGGAACCTCTCCAGCACCGGTACGACCCCCAAGCCCGCCGGGACAAGCCACGACAGGAACCCCAGGATGAGCACCCTCCTCAACGCCAGCACCCCCAGGGTCGACGAACTGCTTCTGCTGCGGCTGCGACGATTGCTGCGGCGACTGCGGCTGCGACGACGGCTGTGGCGGCGGCGGCGGCTGCGACGACGGCTGCTGCGACGATGGAGGAGGAGACACTGGGGGAGGGGCGGGCGGCGAGGACTGCGCCGTACGGCCACTAGAGTCAGCAGACTCCTCGACCGGGACAACCGATGGGAGGGGAGTGACGTGAGACACACTAAACGGGGCAGGGCGGGGAGGGGGAGAAGCAGGGGCGACCGGGGAAGGGGGAACCAGAAACAAGAGGGGAGTAACTGGGGGACCACGGTGGGGAAAGCGGTGATAGAAGAAGACGGACTCGTCAAAGGTGACGTAGCGAGAGTGAAAGAAACGCTGAGACGGCGGGTGGTAGAAGTGCTAGTCAAACAAGTCGAGGGGGAAACCGAGGAAGACACAGGGGACGGTGCGGGCAGTGAGCTTGTCCGTGCCAGAGCCACGAACGTGAGCAAGGCAGCCCCAGACGTGGAACGCAAACGTGTCACCAAGGGACCCGATCCAAAGGAGGGTCGGCGAAACCTGCGGCTGCTGGGGGTGCGGCCACACGTTAAGCTGGTGAGCGGCATAGCGAACGGCGAACGGCCACAGAAAATGGGGTGCACCTACATGGATCATGCAGGTACGAGCCACCTCCATGACCAAACTGATGCGTCGCTCAGCAACCCCATTCTGCTGCCGGGAGTCCGGTAGGGTGAACGTCTGGGTGATGCCCCCTGCACGACAGAAACGACCAAGGACGCCTGAGGCAAACTCGCCACCACGGTCGGAGTGAAGACGCAAGACAGGGAGACCGCGGTGCACACGTGCAGAGACCAGTGACGGGATAAGAGCGTCAGGCACGTCGGCCTTCCGCTCTAGGGGAAAAACTATGGTGTAACGCGTGTAGTCGTCGACAAGCACGAGGAAGTAACGCTCTCGACGCGGCCCATGGACGGGGGCAGGGCCCCAGACGTCCATGTGCAGGGTCTGTAGCGGTGCGGCGGTGGGGGGGAACGAGTATGAGTGAGGGGCACGGCGGAGCCGGCCCTCAACGCAGGGCGTGCACGGCGGCGCTAGGGAGGAGGGCAACTCAGGGAACGACTCTGGGAGACCTAGGACAA